TTCATAGCTTGTTTTTGATAGTGCAGAGTAAGTGTTCCTGCTTTGCCTCTCATCTCTGTGAGCTGTATTCTACAGCTAGTCAGGATAGTGTATTTCAGTGTCATTAATAGTTTGCTTACTGGATGTCTAAATCTGGCTGGCTAAATCTGTTACTCCTCAACCACTAGCTCTTTCTTTGACAAAATGTGTTCAAATATATTGATTCAACTCTGTAGTAGTAGAAATCGAGCTTTTACTGGAGGAGGAAAAATGCTTCCAGGGATCTGAAATAAAGTCCATCTGGGGAGCAGACTTCAAAATGCTGGCTGTTACAACAGAAGTCTCCTGAACTTTGTTTTGGCAAGGGTGGCAGAGCAGACAGGGTACCAAAAGTTTTGCTTTTCAGCTTCATGCAGTGCTTTTGTCTTCCATTTTTTTTTCTTATATTGGGTGAGGGTCAGATTATCATGGATTATTCATGCTCCTGGGAGAATTATATGTAACAAAATAGTGACCTGTACCCTTGGTAAATAAAAGTAAGCTTGACTGTTAGTAGCTGGTTGCCTTTAATTCTTTGTGGCCTATTCAGGAATTGTCTGCCACACAAAGACTAAACCTTAAGAGATCTATTCCTCCTCTAATAAAGGCTTAAGGTTGCTCAGAGGTGATGACTGAGAGACTATATAAACATTGTAAAGGGCAAGTGTGTGCAAATGCAGTAAATGAGTAAAAACATGGAAATACAAGATTGCAAGTAGTACTAAATTGTAACTAAAGCTGAAGACTTCAAAGTCAATCTTGCTAAACAGAGCTAAATGGTGAGTTCTAGAAATGGCAAGTGTCAGTGACGCTGGCTTCAAAAGACAAAAAGGAGCTGCTTCTGATTGTGCAATACTGTAGGAAACATCGGACAGAGGGCTCAACAAGCTCCCTACAACTGCAGCAGGAAGTTAACTTGTTTTCAACACGCAAGCACTTTAAACAAAACAGCATGTTCATTAAACAGTGTAGTTAATAACAGTGATGTTGGTAATGAGTTAAAAACTGCAAGACTTGTCTGATCAGTACATGAGCATTCAAGTATGCTGGCAGATTTGGCTGCCCTTTCAGCATGTTTAGTAGAGAAACGAAAATCAAATACTAAAGAAGAAAACTTTGCTTTCTCAACCTTTATGGTTTGAAAGGCTGCATGTACATTTGATTTCTCTTGAAGTTATCTGCACAATAAAGTCACTTAGCAGTTTTTATTTTAAAGTAAATAATACCTAGTTATATCCAATACTAGTAGACCAATATGTGAATTGTGCGCATCTTGCATTTCCCCTCTCTCATTAGTTTATGTACTCCTCTATGGAGAAGAGTGAATAAATACAACCTTAATACTTTTGTTTTCACCTTATCTCTGTGGATTTGGTATATTGACAGATGACAGGAGTGGAATAAGCTCATAAGTTTTTTCAAAGCCTACCCAGGTTGCTGTGGAGGAGAGATGCTAAGTATCACAATGTAAAAATAGACAGGCAGTGCCTTAAACAAGCAAGGCTGTTTGCTCAGCAACACTGTCCTTTGCTAAGAGCTGGTGAGTTACTTCATTCTTCCCTGTTACTGGAAAGCAGTTTCTGCTCGTTCTCTTGCTTCTCCGACACAAGTCGGTCTAAACTACTAATAATTTGAATATCAGCATTATTGGTGGTATGGTCATGCCTGTTCCTCATATACCAAAAGGTGGGAGAGAAGCAGAGTTGTTCAGAGTAAGGCTTTTTGTTTTTCACCCTCAACCCTCACTCCCGAATGGGTGAAGCCTGCTATGCTGAAACAGGTACTTAATGAAGTGAAACTTGCTCCTGCTGAGAACTAGGACTCTAGGACTTTTCAGTGTTCTTCTCTCCTTCCCTCCCCCCATTAATACTCAAGTAATACTAGGTTTGCTAAGCTTGTTTGGTGTTTTGTCAGGAATCTATTAAATCTCTTAACCTCTATCTACTCTAGGATCTTACCTACTAAAGATTCTCTATCGCTTCGTGTTGCTTTTCCAAAGCATTGTTTCAACTTTACCTTTTCTTTCAATTTCAGAAAGCGGCGTGGATGGGAGACTTGCAGCACCTCCTATGACATGAGACATTCTGAAACAGTTATTGAAATATTGATACATTTTGAGTGTCTCCATAACCCTGCTTTCCCTGATATTAATAAATGTATCTGTTTAGGACGACTCTCCAAACCTAATCTGAGAGTCTGTAATAGCTGATTTTTATGTGATAACTATTACAGACAATAGTCTATAACAACTGATTTCTTAACTTGAATCTCTCACTGCAGCATGCAAAATGCTTTCTGTATAGGTAAATTAATTCATGCACGTATTGCTCAATTAGCTGAATAACAATATTGCTTTTCCTCTCTTTACTTTCTACAAAATATGCTTAAAATTACACATCTGATTCAGTTCTGTTTCTAGTAACTGAGGAGTTCAGTTTTGCTTTTGAGACGAATGTTTCTGTCTGAAGTTGAACTTTATTTCCTGTTCTCTGGCATGGCAGTGATAACTAATATTTCCCAAACTTGTAAAGTCTTTGAGGCTCATTCTCCTTCCTGTTAGGAAGGTATGTTACAGCAAGGAAGCTACATGGTGCTAATACCTATTTAATTCTCTGTAGCTTTTGAACTTTATTGCCTACTTAAACATAATGTTACAGGTTGGGCTGTTTCTATTTCTAGAGCCCTTCAAGACTGCTTGAAGCAAGTAATTCTGCTGTGAAGTTGGCGTAACCAGAATGTTCCTGCTCTTAGCAACTTGAAGTCATTAACTTTCTGCAGCAATCTAAACTCTTTATATAGAGGAGTGTTACTGTAGTATGATTCTCTACTCTGTATGCACAATAAATTCCACAAACAAAGTATCTTTTTAATACTGAAAGGCTATAGTAATTTTCTTGTATTGCTTGTCTGGACTACTTTATTTAACTATTATTCTGTAGTGTTAACACCCAAATTTCAGTTTTGACTCTACATCTGACTACTTACCCAGGAGCACCTGAAAGCTTTATAGCAATTTCCTTCCAGATGATTTAATTTGACTCTGTAGTCCATTGGTTTCCCCAACATACAATTAGCTTTTAGAAGCCCTATGCCTCTTGCTGTATGTGGATTATGTTTGTGTTCAAATTTTCTCGATCTTAAAAGGAATTTTTACCCAGAAAGGCAGTCAAAGGTACCTGCCAACACGCATCATTTCATTCTACTGTAATGAACCATTTTTGGCCTCTGGCTACATCACACTGCTGTTCAGGAGCATCTTCCAAATCATTATCTGTTCCTATTTCTTACATGCAAGATCCCCTGCAACTGGTGTTCTTGTGAGTCAGTTTTTGCTCCTGGGAGAGCAGAACTCAACCCCGGCTTTGTACTGCAATCCACTCAGACTGATGAGACTTTATTGTGCAACTTCCTGCTCACCCTCATACTATGTCTGCCTTTCTAGGCCTATGTGACAGTAAGGCCTGAACCTGTTCCTAGGAGGGTCACTGCCTGCTGCAGTTTGGGGGGTTTGTGGGTTACCAGGGAGAGAGAATGGAGGCTGTAACGAGGACAACCTGGAGCCATGCGATGGGTTTAGACCCATCCTTGCACCTTATGCCTTGCACCTCTACTGGGCTGGGTTAGCTCAAGGAGCAGTATCGTGTGTCCCTGAGACTGCCTCCATCGTCTTGACACGGTAATCCTCAGCCCAGTTCCTCTAATGTGTCTGCTGATGCTGGAATAGAGGAAGGTTCATTACCTTCCTGCCTATTTAACTAGTAAAAATGAGATGATGTTGTGATCCTCAGGGAAATGCGCATCAGTCCTTCTGGTGCTCAGGGGCTTTTGACTTCTGAAGCTGTACTACAAGTGTACTTCTACTGAAAGCTGGAAGAAGTCTGAGCTACACAGCTACACGGATTATTTGGTTGGTGAGAAGCAGCGGGGCAACTTAAGCCAGAGTGAGAACAACCTACGACCATTTCAGTCTTCCGTTTACAGGCATAGTCAAAAGCAGCCAGAGAATCGGGCATCTGAAACGTGAAGCTGATGCAGTGCTGCTCTGCAGTGTACTGTGATCCTTTGCTCTCCTCACCTATTGAGCCAGCTGCTGGGTGGGCTTTATCTTCTTTGCTGCCGGAGGTGCTTTTGCTTTCCTGTGTCACATTAAAGCCATGCAAATAGTTTCTATAGCAACAGGTCGTCTTGCTTTCCTCTGACGCAAAATCCCAAAAGGTCTCCCTTGTTCTATGTCTTCATCCAATTCTGATTTTTTTTTTTTTTTTTTTGCTTTTATCAACTTTCTTTTTGAAGATAAAGCAGAGAAAAAATAATTTGCTCTATTTCAGCAGCTACCTTGCAGGAGAGGTCACCATTTAGTTTTTAACAACCCTCTAAAGTCTCTACAACAGGACTTGAACTCTGGGCCAAAGGAAAAATTGGCTGGAATAATCTAGAGATTGCCCCTGACTGTATATCCAAGGTTTGTTCATGTTCCCTTCCTCCAAGCCACATACTTTTATCTGATTCTTAGGTTTTCATTAAGATGATGTGTTCAGGCTTAAGCAGTAAATTCCCTTAGTTTTTCTGAGGTGGTGGAGAGCAAAAATAGTATTTGCAGTCTCCTTTGGCTTATGGTTAGGGCTTTGTGGCAGCACTCAAGCACAGCTGTATTGCAGTCATGACTAGTAAAATCTCAGAGTGAGGGCAGCTGTCACTCTGAGGGGCCAAGAGACTAGGTAAGAACACGTCTGTCTTCTTGCTCGCAAAAAAGACGCAAGTCATATCCTCTTACTGACGTGGAGGATTACGTAGATGATACTCGGAGGGAATAAAAGGGTCCCTTCACTTGAGAGGGAGGCTTTTTTGCTTGTTTAAGTAGCCTGTTGAGGGGGAGCACATCTGATCTGTAGGAGAATTTACTTCTGGCCTTCCCTTCCTCTGAAAGTCCTGTGGACTTCTACATTTTTGCTGTGAAGAACCTATTGTCCTAGGAGGAAGGGATGGAAAAGGTACAGTCAGATTAGAGAGGCAGGTCGGTATTTTAGAGCTGAAAGATGTAACCAGTATAAAACTGTCACACTTGCACTGTGTGAATTGGGAAAGGCTTGGGGAGGAACACAACTTTTAGATCCTACCCTCAGTGGCAGAAATACTAGTCTGGAGTTACTTGCAGGCCCTAAAATGTTTGCTCTGAGCAAATTCAGAGGAAAGTAATCAAGCTAGCGAAGTAAGCAGTGTGGCCTAGTAGACAGAACATAAGAACAAGGTAAGAGATATGAATTTGTCCCCAGCTTTGCTTCTGGCCTGTCTAATCTGAGGCCCTGTTTCCTTTTCTGTCCTTTCAGGTCTTTTAATCTCTCTGGAACATGTGCTACAGGTTGTTGGGACCCTGTTAGTAGATGATGCTACTGCAAGTTGAATGAACACAAAAAATAAAAGGCAGGCAAAGTTAGATAAAACACTATTGTCTCTCTGCACAAGGGCCTTTGCCAATAAAGTCTATCCAGGGTAATCACTGAAGAGCAGTGACGGGGTGGGATGTAGCACAGCATCTTGTCACAGCTACTTTTGCCCAACTCTCTTCCGTTGTCAACAGATGACTCAGATTTCAAGGGGGAGGTGTATGGACAGACACAGACTTTGAACTATGCTTGTTTTCAGGAGAACAGACTTGCAAAACGTGTGCAGGAAGGACTCCAGCAGGATATGGGTGACTAGGGTTTTTTTCTAGGGCCGTAGTCGTTCAGGCACGGAGCCCTGCCTTCTATTCCATCTTCTGTTTTACCTTTGTTCCCCTGTATCACCTGGCAGTTGTGAAGGGATTATTGGAAGGGCTAACGGTAAGCCTGTTTCTTTCTTGTTGAATTCTGGCCCTCCTCCTCAAGGAATAGCTGCTGCTGACTGTTAAAATCAACAGAAATCGTTGCAGGTACAACTGCAGAAGTTGTGTAGCTGGTCAGGTATCATCTGTGATCTGGCTGCAGTTTGCTGCTAACATTCAACAAATCTAAGGTACAAAAAATGGTAAAGTCAATACAAATGAAAACTGCAAAGGACCTTACAGACCCATGGTTATGTTCTTGACACGTGGATCTGTTTGCTTACGTGCCTCGAAAACTCCCTGTGCATTACACGAGCTGTTATGACCCTGGGTTGTAGCCTAAGGAAGGGGGGTTGTGAAAGAAATATGACCTTTGTGTTCCTGTTCAATTGCTTTAGCCACGGGAGGGATGTATTTTGTCCCTGAAGTGGCCTATGTGACACTTCATAGGTCACTTAACCTTCTTTCCCCAGCTTTAAAGTAGGGCTAACAGCTCTCTCCGTAGTACAATACAGCTCTTCAGCACAGTAACAGATTCCTTAGATGAAGTCTGTAAGGATCCATCATTTATATTTAAAAATTATATATGTTTGACAACTTCTCTGGGTTGAAGCCCCTTCTGTTGAGGCTGGCTTGGGCCTTACACAGTGTTACGTGTTACTATGACTTGTAATGAGAATGTGGCCATTCTTGACTGTTCTGAACAGTCTGCTCCGTGCGTGGGCTGACGTAAATCCATATCTAACATCAGGCTCTGATACGTTCCCAGCAATGCTGGTCTGAGCCAAGCTGGTAGTCTAATAACATCAGCAGTCACTCTGGAGATGCTTCTTGGATCTGTTTGGATTTTGTTTTAATAATGCTGTGCATAGCGGCAGGTTTCATAAAAACACTGTTTGCCTTTCTGCTGTGGAAATTGCAGATCTGCAGAGCGCTCGGGAGAGAGGTAGGAACTAGATTGCGGCTCTGATTCCTCTTGCCTGTCCTCTGAGCCTGCTGTGCTTCAGATTCTGGCCATTCCTGGCTGAACTCATCGTTATACGAGTTCGTGGTGTTTCCCATGTACGCTAAAAGATACTATGCCTCTCCGGCAGTGCTTGATGTAAACTAGACTCTAAAATTTGTAGAAGAACAAAAAAATTCTTGTGCCTGTATGAAGTGGTTCCCTTGCTGCTTTCATACCCTCTTTTCTTTACCCTCTGACCAAATCAAAAATGTTCTGGGGTTCAGCCTCGCTCTTTTCCAGGTTGTCAGCACTTCTCAGGAAGGAACGTGAGTTGCAGACAGAATATTGTGCACGCAGTTTCCAGGGTTACCTGTGTAGTGCTGATAGCAAGCAGGAAATTAAAATGCTCCATGATGATGATATGTTATCGACAACAGATGGTAGCCATTAGGTGTACGTGCACATCAGGGGAAGGCATAAAGGCAAACAGAGCAGACACAGCTATAGATTTCTGTAATCATCACTGGAGGTGTCAAGCTCCACTTTGGATGAAGCTGGGCAGTCTCTGAGCCCCCTGATTTCTCTTCTGGCTATGCGATGTGTGACACTGACAGTTTTTGGAAGCAATTCCAAGTAGTCAGTGTGACCTCAAGTTATTTGTTTGCAGTGTTTTTTGCTGAACAGCTCTTCTATGCAGCTAATGTCAATTCTCTCTTCAAAAAAGCTCTGTCTCTCACCTCGGGGCTATTCTACTTTCAGCCTCTCCAAACGTGGTCCAGCTCTCTGCAGCCTTTGTGGAGTCTATGCTGATCTGCTGTAACCTGTGTCAGGAATGCTTGGGGACTTGTCAGGGGACTGCTAAATCTGGAAAATTGATGGAGGATCTGTTTGCTGACCTTTGAGACTAGCAAAGCCCCAAGCCCTTTTATTGCTAGAAGAGCTCTCTCTTCCTTCCTCTGTCTCTGTGGGTTTTTCATATCCTTTGTTAATTCTGAAACATAGAGCCAGGCTGGAGTACGCATCTGTGTGCCCGCTTGCAGTACAGGGCAGAGCATGTTTCTCCCTGATCTGTGGCAACAGGTCTGCCTCTTCTAGACATTTGTGTATGCCTGCACAGATGCTGGCTGGTGTGCTTCAGGATGGAACTGTAGAGACTGTTATTTGCGTGCAAAACCTCCTGGAAGATAGTGATGCAGGTGTTCAAATGTGTGAAGAAATGACTGTGATGGCTCAGCTTTTCTCTAAACTAGGGCTGAGCTTTGCTTGCGGTATGTGGAGGCACATGGAAGCCCGCTTCTAGATGGGTTCTCCTCTTCAGCACTGGCTTTATCAGCTCTCGTCTCAATTACACTTAAAACGCCTGTAATTCTGCAAAGGCTAGGCTTGTTCAAACCTGGCACAAGCTAATACTATTTTAATAAAACACCGTTGACCTTCTCTCGGCATAGCACATAGGGAGTCTGACATAGCATTGTGCCAATCGTGTGATCTTATGCAAAACAAAGCATGGTTGCATTGTTAATCCCCACTTGTCTCCTATGTCTTAACCCTAAAATCTGTAGTTTAGAGGCAGCTCATGGCAAATGTGTAGCTTTCTCACTTACTGGCTGGAAGAACTTTCCATGCTTCTGTGTATAACATTTTTAATACAAATATTTAATTTCAGATGTTCTGAATGACGCCATCTTTGATGAAGATCATGATGAGATGGTAATTGTGAAGGACATAGACATGTTCTCGTTGTGTGAGCATCACCTCGTTCCATTTGTTGGAAAGGTAACTCTTTCTCACAAACTAAATACTGCAATACGGGATAGAAGACCTAAAGTACATGCAAAAGACTTTGTAGCTGCTTTTTTTAAAGCTATAACTATTTACCACTTACGGCTATGATTTCAGAAATTAATCCTTAGAATACAAATAAGGAGGACCTTCTTAAAGTGAGTTTTATTTGGATTTAAACCTGTAAAACATAATGATCTACCCTTTCTAGTCTAACTAATCTAATGCTTTCTGACATTTTGTATCAAAGCTCTTCTTAGTGAAGCAGCAACAAGCCTTGAGGGCAGACATCTTGATATTAAACTAGCTCACCCTGCACACTGGCTCTGCTCTGTCATGGATTACGCTACTGGCTCAGAGCTATCTAGTGCACATTCATCTCAGGAACCTGCAAATGGAAAAAACTTCTGATTAGCGGCACTATCTTAAATGAGCAAGCACAGTCAGAAGGACCATACTCAAAAATGACTAGCAGGAGGCCACTCTGGTTGGGATTCCCATAGAGGGGGCTTGGATGTCAGATGGTGTTGAAATTGTAGTGTCAACAACCTTAAAAAAGGGTTCTTAAGTTAGGCACTGTAAACTCGATGAAGGGTTTGGAGTTGGTAATCGCTTCTGCAAATCTCGGCTTCTTCACTCCCACAGTCACACTTATTTTAATCCCTCTGTTTTACCATAAAGTAATCATAGGCTGGCGAATGCAAGCGCTCGTCTTCTGTAAAATCTGATCAGTGCCATGTGTCTTCCAAGTAGATTGTCTCCCAAAAACGAAGTACTTGAAGAGAAACCACTTATTTAGCTGGTGGAGTCACCTCAATTTTGTCTCCTTTCTTTCCTTACTGTTAGTATTTTATAGTAGAAAACAAAGTAACTTCTTATTCTATGCAAGTTTTCTATTTTGCCTGTTTTTCTTGGTTACACATACTGTGTATATTCTTTTAATTACTTCTGTGGCAATATATGCATTCTTTTTGCATCTAGCTGTTTAGCCTGTGTGGTTTGGAGAAATCTCCTCGCAAACACCGAATCGGTCCTGCTCGTATAATGGTCTACTAAATGACTTGGTATGCCTCTAAATATTCTCAGACTAACCATTCTCCTGTTGGGTACATCAAACAGTCTGCAAGTACCGATCAAGAGGTCTTATATTTGCAGCTCTATCTTAATAAAAATAAAAATTCACAAACATACTCTATGGGGAACAGGATTCAATGCTTATTTCTAAGTTATGTCTCTTACTTGATCTGAAATGTTTCATGTCTTTCAGGTGTCAGTGGGTTGATTACCCAACAGAAGTGATAGGAATGAGCAAGTTAGCCAGGTAACTAGGTGCACTGTGGTACCTCTATTGCAGGTACAGCAATACAGGATGTTGAGATGGGGCCTCTAGACAAAGCCATAAGAGAGAATCCATCACTGATACTCCCCTACTGTATCTTGGCTAATTTTTCAAGTCTCTGGTACAGTGACATAAATGCTGGTTTACAGTCTGCTACAACTGTAAACCCACTGGAATTCAGTAGCCTATGTTGCTTTCTAAAACAAGAAACTAAATGCCCTTCCACCCTCCCTCCCTATCCGAGCATTTGTCTACGCAAGAACTTATTTCAGCATAGTCCAGTATTAATGTTCAGTAAATCCCCATCCAAGTAGGATGGAAGTTGACTTAGTCATACAGTAATCTATGACACTGCCAGTAGCACATGAGTTGGCCTTAAAAAAAAAAAAATTAGTAAGTGCAGCCTGGTTTTGGTGGCTAAGTACTTCTTGCCATCAGAATTTCCCCTGGAAATAGAAAGTAAAATCTGTCTCTCCCTCTTCCTAAACCCATTTTAGGCCCTGAAAGAAAAGCATGTTTGTTTTAGATGAGCGATGCTGTGCTGAGTAATGAGGACTGCTTTTTGTACCCAAAAGTAGTACTTTGTAGCATTCGCGAGACTTGGAACATAAGCCTTGGCACTTGAAAAGCTGTAATATTTCTTCCCCTCAGAAAACTTACCTATTCTTCACCAGGACACTGAGTCACCTCACCAGGCATTTACAGTCTTTGTTAGCTCCGTAATCTTTCAGGCTTGCATGGTGGCTTGTCCTTCCCACATGCTGGAATTGTATGAATCCCACTTCTGGATTGTTCCAGAATTGGTTCTGGGGTGAATGCACATCTCATTCTCTATGCATGAGTTTCATATGCATTTGGTAGTGAGGTTTTGATTCTGTTAATGGTTTGCTCTCCTCTGCCTAGGTACATATTGGCTATCTTCCTAACAAACAAGTACTCGGGCTCAGCAAGCTTGCTAGGTAAGTGTTAATGTAGTGAAAGTGATGCCAATTTGTAAAAAGGATTCCAAGCTGTGCTCACTGTGCTAATCTTTCTAATCTGGTCTCCCTCTAAAGCTCAGCACACTTTGCATCCTCGATTTGGATTCAGACCAATCCTCAGCAGTTATAGTTTTTGTGAGGAGAACAGATAAGTCTCAGAGCTCTGTGTTAATTCACGTCATAATCGACTGTAGTAGAGCTGTAGCATTGGATTCTCCAGGGAACACAGGAGCAAGAACAAGCAGGAAAGCTTGCTCATTCTAAAGAAGACAACCAAAACCAGTGGGAATCTCTAGCTGTTTACTTCTTGCATGTATAGTGACCCATAAGAACAAAACTCCCCAACTTCCAAGCTGTAATTGAATGCAGTGTCTCTGGATTTGAACTGAATCTAGAGCTTTCATATCTCTTAGCGGACTCTTCAGATAAATGTGACGTTTTTCTTTCATTGAGACCTGCTGAGAGAGCTTGAGGGTAGATTTTATAGATAAGACTCAGCCTAAGAAACAAAGAATTATGATACACTTGAGAAACTCTGTTGTTATGTAAAATAGCTTTTTCCTCCGGCAAGTGCCCTTGGATCAGTTGCTGTACTGAATCTGTTCACTTTCTAGTTCTAGCAGTGAAGGGGATGGTAGCTCCCTTAAAAAACAGATTGTGGGATACCAGAGGGGAAGGTTCTCTTCTGACAAACAAATCTGAGGAAACTGGCTGTAGCTCAGAAAGACCACATAAGACTTGCTTATACTTTGCTTGATGCATCTGCTAATCTTCTTGTAGTTCCAGTAACACTAATGAGAATTAGCCTTGTAAATCTGCATGCCTGCTGGGTTTTCTTAGTGGGTAGGAAATGTGTAGGATATGACGCTAGAGTGCTTTAAATTCAGTCAGCTCTGTTCTGTGCTCTGTTTGCGGAGTGATGAATGTGGTTTGGAAGCAGAAAGACCACTGGAGGTCAAGCCTCTTTTAATGTAACCTTATATTACGGGGAGACTGTCTTTCAGGAGTGGTTATAGTAGTGGACACTTTAATCAGAGTGGGCTCTGATTAAAAGGTTGAAACAAGCAGTTCAGTGCTGAGCTTTCGTATGCGCTTACTGTGGCTGCACCTACGTTCTTCCTGAAGAGGTGATGCCTTTAGCACTTGGTTTTGTTTCTGAAGGGCGTGAATTCACGATCAAGGATCACATTTGAAATCTGCATCAATCGATTTATTTGCTATGATCTGCAATTATATCTGAATTGCAGAGATAAAAAGAGGCTCAAAATTGTCTTGAATGATCCTTAATGCAAGGGCCACATCGTGCTGAAAGCATATAATTTCCCTACTGTTTCTTCTCTCAGTATAGAAATATGCTTGGAAATGTGCAAGGCTTCCTGTACTGTGCTTTAAAGGTTAAAATTTGCCTCTTTTTCAAGTTAGGGTGAAACTCTCATATGCTATAATAGTGAAAAGATTGGATTCTTGTATAACAAAATGTTCTCAGTCCTCACTTGCTTTTGAGCGCTTACCATGAAAAGAGATTGGTGGGCCAAATCGTACTTCCCTTCCTGGTTCTATATAATGCAACCCATGTTCAGACAAAGATTTGTGAAGCTGTTAGTACTGTAGGTATAATCTTTCCTAATAGGATTAGTCTAATGTGGTGAGTTTCTTTAGTTGTGGATGACCTGTATTCAGTAAACAAACATCTTTCTTTGTGTTTTAGGCTCAGGCTTGAAATGCTAATGCAAATAACCCTTTTTGCATATGAGAAGCCCTATAAGCATGTTTGTTTAATACAACTGTAAAAATATTTGCCAGCATCAACTTTTCCTATCCATATATTTAATCTAAATGTTATCTTGCTTTGTTTAGAGTAGCTATAACACAACCATTTCATTTCTGGAAGGGGGTTTCTGCATATAATTCTCTCTCCAAAACAGCAGGCAAGTCTCATTGTCAGAAATGTTGTTTGTAACTAATGCCTCAGGCTGCCAGCGTGTGTCTGTTTCTTGTCTAGTCTGGCCAGATGGGCATCGGAGCTTTCTTTCTATAGCAGCTTCTTTACATGGCCACTTGACATGTAATTAAGCATTTGAGATCTGCAGGAATAACCACTCTGTAACTTGGTGGACTATAAGACTTTTCTTAAATATATGGATTATAGCACCATGGTCATATATGATGATGATATCACTTGCATTGCCCCACGAATGGGTTAAATGTGAAGTCACATTAGAGAGCGGCACTGAGGTGATCCCTGCAGTGGAATGTGAATGATGATGTGATACATTAGGGGAGAGTATCTGTTTTAAATAAAAAAAAAATCTCTTTGTTCTTAGTTAAGTCAGTGGTTAAATGCAGGAATCCAAAGCATCTCTTGGTCAAGTTCAGTAGCCTTTTGGAAGTCCAACCATCTGAAATGTCCTTAAAACAGTGTTCAGCTTAGATTGAGGCAGGAGGAGGAGGTAGTCTGGCCTCAGTTCCAGGATTAGCTTTCAGAGTTTTTGGGCATGGATTCCCTTGCAAAGGTATGTTCCAGGTAGGTGTTGGTACAAGTGCTTCAAAAGTAACAGCCAAACAACAGAAGCCCTAAGGAGAAGTGACAGGGTTGCCCCTAGAGTGCTTGGGGTGGGGTTAGGGCCAGCCTGTCACTAAACATTGTGGTGTGTTAAGGGAAGTCCTCAAGCAATGCCTGCCAGCCAGAGGCCAAGCAGCAAAATGATGTCACTTGGATTTCCAGGAAGGGCACAGCAGCAGAATCATGTCACTTGGATTTCCAGGAAGGGCACAGATCAGTGCAGTGTTCTTGCTTGGTAATGCATGATTAACTGTGAAGGTTAGACAATGCTCACATAGGAATAACTTGTCTCTTCCCTCTTTTCTGTTTTTTTAGGATTGTGGAAATATACAGTAGAAGATTACAAGGTAAATAGCTGATTTTCTTCCTAGTGTGTGCAGTCCTTTGGTAGCCAGCTTAGGGTACCGGTAATTAAATTTGTACAGATGCAGTTCACCTATAAGACAATGTGTTAAGAAGAACACTGTTCTTGACACAGATGTTTAACTGAGGCTGTATGGAAGGGCTGGATATTTTGCCTCCTTGTTCTGTTGTTGCCATCTCCCCTGTTCCCCTTGGCGTGGACCCCTTGTGAGGGACCACTTTTTCCTTCTGAGTTCCGGCTCTAGAAAACCACTCTTGAAGGAAGAGAGACTGCTTTTGGAGCTGAGTATTTGGGTTGGGCTCAGCCTGGTCTCATTGTTCTGTACTTAAATTTGGTCTGTTCATGTCAACAGAAGTCTTTAAGTGACCATTAGATGACAGACTGGAAAATAGAGGGTGCTAGAGCTGTAGGAAATAAAGCTTTGCAGGACAACAGACTCCCTAATTTGCTTGGTTTTGTCCATACTTTCTTTCCTTAAAAAGGAAATGTGTAAGGAGTCAATAACGTAGCTCTAAATCCAGCGAAAAAGTATGTAAAAACTGAAAGAATAAAAATAGAATAAAAATAGTAAGAAAATCTAACTGCATAATGAGACACTCGAGATCTGTTATAACAAAACATGGTACTGCAAATTCCTGCAAACATGTGAAATGCAAAATGACTCCCCAATAAACAAGCAAATAAAAAGTCTGTTCCAATAAACTAAATACAAGATAGGGTCTGGTACTACTACTCCTCAGACAGCTTATGCAGGAAGAGCAGAGCTAGGGGGCATCAGGTCCTCTTGGAAGGGGGAATGCAATAACTTGATGCTATCTGCTCTCCCGTGTGTGGTATGCAGATACTTTATGCTAGTCAGAACTAACACTGATTCTGGACTCTCCGTTGTCCTTTCAGTCCAGGAACGCCTTACCAAACAAATTGCAATAGCCATCACAGAAGCCTTACAGCCTGCTGGAGTTGGAGTGGTTATCGAAGCAACGTAAGTTAGCCTGGGTTGTTGTGCGGTAGTGTTCGGACTGTGCGTGTGATGCCAGCTGTACGCTGCAGAACTGTTGTGTGTTGTCTCTTGGCTCTTCAACTGCTTTAACTGTGTCCTATGCTTGCTTATAAGGCAGTGTTCATGCAGGCAAAAGTGATCCTTGCCTGGTTCAGCAAAAAGGGCTGGTGGATTAGAGCCCTTTCGAATGGGGGCCTCCTTACCCTCTGCAGAGATGTGGTAACCGGCGGTGCTGTCAGGGGTCCCAGCTGAGCTGAATCCATGCTCTGCCTCAGTGCTCCTTCTGCTTCCTCGGAGCAGAGCTCGAGTCTAGCAACAGGCACATCCCTGTGATCCGAGCTCATCTTGGAAGAGTGGAATTTTCTTAGGATCTGAGGAGAGGGAAGTGCTCAGGAGTTGAGAATTTGACTGTCTTTTCCCTAGAGGAAAGCTGAGGTGCTATAGATAGATGTTCATTTGGAATATAGAGTCCACAGAGTTTAATTAACCCTGTAAGAAACATGTGTTTCTCTTTTTGCAGGATTACCTATCTCTTTACAGTCTGACTGATTTATTGTCTCCTGCTCTCGTTTCTTCTAGGCATATGTGTATGGTCATGCGTGGGGTACAGAAAATGAACAGTAAAACAGTAACCAGCACAATGTTGGGGGTATTCCGGGAAGATCCAAAGACCCGTGAAGAATTCTTGACGCTCATCAGGAGCTGAAACTGTGCCATTCACTAAATGCACTCTGGAGGTTGTTCTGTCCAGTGTCACTGTTCTTATCTGTTTCTACATCTCACTTTTAAACTAAATCATTGTGAATTGTTGTCATAGTCTTTGTGTAGTGAAAGACTTTTGATGGCAAGTGAAAACTGTAATGATGAGGTAGGCTCATCCTGGATTTCTAACACTGTTGTTGTCACAGAATTACACAGCTGTGGATAGGGTTTTGAAAATGCTTTTTCTTCTGGAACATGAAAGATACTGCCGTTAGGAGAAAAATGGGGTTTGAGAGTGAAATGGATATTTATGAAATAGTTCTGTTTGGTAGAATAAATACAGTGCAGCATAGGAAACAATTAAAAGGCTGTGGATCCTTGTAGGACCGCTTACATGCTGCAAATACTGTATCACTGCCTGAAAAGGATGGTCCTGAATTATCTCTGACTATATTTTATTACAAATCCTTTGGTGGCTGTTTCAATATCTGGATATGTATGTTATACTACTTTGAGATGTTACCTCTGGTGGTGTTTTATATTCTTGCAAGTATTAATCCTCTCTCTTTTTTTTTTTTATTTGAGAATTAAAAATGCATTTTTCCTAGCCTCTTAACATGCAGGGAATTAATTGCTAAATGATTTGGGGCACAGCCTTATCTCAGTGTAAAGGGTTTTATGCACCTTCTTCTCTGTGCCTCAGAATATCTGACCATTTTAACTATCAATTTCTGACTATTTTTAAAGCAAACTTGAAGAGGGGAAAAAAAAAAAACAAACCCAGAGTCTATGTCTGCAAAGAGCTAAGATATCCAAAGAGATTTTTAGTGATTTTTATATGTTGAGTTTTTCATCTTGGATTTCCATGGGCTCATTAGACCGAGGAGCTAAAACTAGTATGGTATTCTGAAAACAATGATTACTTTTCAAACATTTCGAGATTTGCTTCTTTTAAATGTTGGACCAAAGGTGGGTGCTGAAATCTTGAACACAGTTCATTGTACCTCTTCTGCCTGTTTTCAGGTCATTCCAGGGCGAATTAATCTGAAATGACAACTTATTTCTTAAGAGCAATTGAGAAAAGTATTTCCAGGGCCATCAACATGAATTAAACCACATTTTTGTATGTGGCAGTGTTGGTACAAAACGTTTCAGTCCACTGGACTTGGCTGAACTTCTTACAATTTATTACAATTTATTACGTTTTAATGAGTGTTTTGTAACTCTTAATCGGGAAAATATGATGCACAAATGGAAACCACCCTTCTCAAACTAAGCACGGGAGGCAAAACTGAAAAAATAAAATGTCAACCACCAGGGCGTCTGATGGCCACAGTACATGTTCCCGTAGTCATATCTGCATTGCTGAATATGAATCCAAGATGTTCTGTAATCAAACCTAAAAGGCAGTTCCTAGTCTGGCAGGCTAGATCTTACTAACTCTTACACATTCAGGCTCCCCTTTTCAACCCATAATAGAAACAATGTAAAATTTATGGCAAGCTGAATTTCCATTCAGCCAAAAGAACTTTAGAAAGTATAAATAAGAAAGGCTTTAAAAAATCCCCATCTTTATTTATTACTGTAACTACCCACCCTTTTTTTGCCAATAACCTCATATATTTGATTACACTCGCTTTACCTTGAAGACCTTCACAGTATTATTAGAAAAAAAACCTTTATGATATCCTTTCTCCTGTATTGCTAGATGCTATAAAAGTATTTCTCTGCTAGCACAAACAAGCTCTTCTGGACCAAGCTGCAGTGTTGCACATTCATAAAATAGGCTAACTCTCTGGCTTTTGTTTTCCTTAAATGATTGAGAACAGATATTGCCACTTTTGAGTTCAGTATGTGTTTCAAATATCCAGTTAAAAAGCCTTAAATCATCCTTGTCTGAAGTTCAGAGTAAAACCTTTTCTCTTTTTAGCTCAGCAGCTGGCAGGAGAATTTGAGGACCAAAGAGGCACCCACTAATGTTTGTTTCTGTCTACTTGCTTTAGTTGTTTGAAACTGTTAATTTTTTCTAAAACACTGTCTTACTCCTGAGGTAATGAAAAGGTTGCATTTTAACCACTTATCTTTATTCAGGATAAAGTTCATATTGCACCACCACCAGTTTTTATTTCTGTGACCTGTAGTCCTTAAAACATACCTCTCTATACTTGTGGCCTTGGATTTTGTTCAGATTCTTGTTGTTGTAAGATTTGGTGCATTTTTTTTGGAACGTTAGTATTGGTCAAATACATGAGCTTTAACTGCAACCGGTGTGTATATATGTATAGTACATACAGCCTGCTGTTCTACTGTGTAGAAGTCCATTGTCTCTAAAACATTAAAGCGCAGTATTATCCTTTTGAGTGGCAGCATCCTTGTCGACTCGGAGGTGATGGCACCACACGGGGAAGCAGCGGCAGTGCACATGCAGCCCTTTTGGGTGAGGGTTCTCTCTGTGCCAGCAAATGCTCAACCTTGTGGTGGTATTTTCAGTTGGTCTTCTGAGACTGTTGTCAGTGTTGTCTCCAGGTGAGTCTCCATTTGTTGCCGACTTGACAGCAAAAAAACCAAAAGCATTCTCCGTCAGGATTTCTCAGTGCCAGAGGAGTCCGCAGCAAACGTATCACGCCAGGCAAGATGGGAAGCAGTAGCTGGTTTGGAGCATCTGTGAATCTCTCTCTCTCTTTCCAGCTGCAAGCATTGAGGTACATGTGGGCTCGCAGTCCTCTTGTGCGCTTTGTAAGCCCTCCTAGGGTCCTCATTGCTGACTGTCGTCATGCTTCATTCTGCTGAGGAAATGCTTATTCCCACCACTGCAAGGCCTCTCTATAATCCAGAGCCTCTGTTCTTGAGTGGAGCTGGAGACAAGCATCAAATGGGGGAAACAGAGTAACAGGTTTTGTTCTTTGCCCTGCAGTTATGGCTGTGGCTTTCTGGAGTGGGCAAAAGCCGACGGAGAGGATGAGAATACAGCCAGTTCCACTCTTGTATTTGAATTAGCTGAAGAAACATATCTGAATGGCAGAAATGAAGCAGGTGCAGCAAGTGACCTTGAAACCAAAGTCTTGCTCTTCAGCTTGATTGGGTGACCCTGTGGTGGGCAACATCCCGCAATGAGCTCAGCCTCTGCCAGCAGCTGCTGTACTGCTCCTTGAGGGTAAGGAGACTGTCTGAAACATCTGGCCCTCTGGTGCCCTTATAGGATGTGGGTATTCTGGGGGACATCCTCAAGAAGTGACTTTCAAGACACAGACTCCTCATGAGCCGAAGCCTCATCGATGGTTGGTGTGGAGGGAACGGGGCAGGCACCGGAGGGCTGTGAGGCTGTGCTCGTGCTCCCCAGCGCCTAGGCTGAGGCCCCTGGGTAGCGCTTCGTGCTAGTGCTTGCTCTTCTGCGTGGCCGGGCAGCTTCAAGGGGCGAGGTGGTGCCTGCGCTACGGTTGGAGCTGGGACTGCCCTGTTAGAAGAGCGCGTCCTTCTGTTAAGGGGCTGTGCTGGCCTGGGTTTTTCTGCAGCCTGGCTGAGAAAATAGGAGGAAAATCCGTGAAGCACAGCAGGAAGAAGAAATTAAATGCCTATATGAAAGTTAGCAATCACTTCTGTAATCTCTTACCTGCACCCCTGTGTCAGGGCACAGCATAAAACAGGCCTGGGTGGGGAAAAGGCAGGTAGAGATGGTTTTGGATTGCAGGCGAGGATGGGGCATCCGCTGGCATAGTGATTTTGTGAGTGAACTCTATGGTAGTCAGAACTGGAATAACGAACAAAAGCCCCCTCCAGCCCTTTATGTTTTTCCTCAGTGGACTGTTATTTGGAAATAACTCCATGGGAACCCCCAGAAGCATTTTTTTTTTTTTTGAAGAATTCTTTGTCATGAAGCTGAGTTACGTCTAATGGTTGTGTATTAAAGCTGGTGACTGTGGTGGGAAACAGCCTTTATGTCAAAACAGACATTTCTGCAAGAAATTATCTATTCCCTGTGGGTTTTTTAGGTGTGGGATTTGCAGGGAGCCTCCCTGGATTTAAGATCCTGTGAAGATCTCTGCATTCGTTGGGGGGAAAAAATATTCAACTCCTGCCAGTATGATACAGCTTGAAAGTGCTTATAACTTAAGAAACAGAGGGTAGAGACGAGAACCAAAATGTGTCATTAAAATGACAGCCCCCTTCATGACTGAAAGCCCCAGCTCGTGACGTTTGTTTTGAATGCTTCGCTTGGATGCGCTCTGAATGCAGTGTTTGGCCCACTTTCCTGTAGCCCCTGTATCCAACACGTCATCTAGGTCATCATGTTCTTACTCTTGGGATTTTTTAAGTTAATCTTTGGCTACACGGCTCTGAGGACTCTTTCATCTGCCTTTTAAGTCTGCAGGCTGTCTCTTGAGTGTGTAAGCCAATCCCCTGTCCTGAAAGCGTCACTTCCCACAAGATCCCGCCTGTCTTACCATATGCTGTATTCATTTCCTTCTTACCTTCAGCGGTCCGTGTTGCTTGTCACAACTGTGAGATGAATTCCCTTCTACAACCTCTTTGGTGGATCATTACTTCCCCTAGGCAAAGCCACTAGTGAAAAGGAGTTGGATGCAGCTGGACTAGATGTTGGGAACAGAGAATTGCAGAGCTCTGCCGATGCATTTCTGTCCCAGATGTCCCCTACGCAGAGCTTGCTGGAGAGATGGCTATAGGCCTCTCCTGGAAACCTAGCACAGACCTCTCCTACCCAGCTGTGTTCCCCTTGAGCGGACCTCATGCTGTTCTTGTGCTCCTGAGGCAGCTGTAGACTTTTGTCCTCTGCTTCAAAGCCCAAATCCTGCTATTTCTTCCTCGGAGCACCGTCTTGCACACAACAGCCCACTGCTGGTGATAAAGATGGGTCATGCAGGTGGTGAACCATGGATGCAGACACCCATGGGCTTGAGAGCTGCCAGCTCAGCCCAACCTGTCCCCAGGGGAGTTACTGGAAACATCATGACCAACCTTGTGGTTAGGTCCTTGGCAGCAAGGTACAAGGCCCCGAGACATACCCTAGTTAGTTGGGAAAAGCCCTGACAAATAGCTAGCTTACAGCTTTGAGCGTTCATGTGGAAACCCAGGAGCTTTTTTGGTACAAAATTCCTGATTTCTTTACCTGTAACTCTGGCAAGTTCCTGCAAGCTGTAGCTGCAAACCGGGGTAGGGCTAGTGGGACCATCCATGCATTGCTGATTCCTGAGCGTATTGCTTTTGTCCACATTTCACCCCCGGACCTGTACCTGTCAGGAGTTACTGGGGGGAAAACCTCGGTAGACCAGTTCCTCCCTTCCTTGTGCTTTTTACCCACTGGATCCTTGTGAAGTGAGAAGAGCCAAAAATTCTGGCTTCAGAGTGACTGAGCGGCTGCAATTGAGGCCTCTGCAAATCTTGGAGGCTTTGTGTAGGCAATAGAGCAGATCATGGTTTCTTACCGAGGCCGAATCACTCGTTACCCAGCTCCCGCTTTCTGCCTCCGCTGTCTCTACTGAGTTACTGGCGCTGGGCAACCAGGCTCCGCAGTCGGCGGCACCCTCGGAGCTTTGCCTAAGCCCTGGGGAGCCACCTTTCCGAAAGCTTGCCTCCCGCTCCTGTTTGACGCTACAGTCCTAACTGCATAGTCGAGAGGGTTTAAAACATTAAAGCATCGTGTAATAAATCTTGGGCTGGACATAAATACACGACCGCGCACAGCCGTCGTGGGCAGACGGGCTTCTCGCGGGCGACCGAGCGGAGGAGATGGGCTGGAGGAGCACGTCCAGGGGCTCGGTTGCTCCAGAGCTGGAGGAGCCAGGCTGGGCACGAGGGTCTTGTCCCCGGCGTCGCCTGGGGCCCAGCTC